CTGCAACCAATCGCCCACCTCAGCAAGAAACTACATGGGGCAGAACTAAACTACCCGATACGCCCTTGCTATTATCATGGAGATGTTATCTCGAAGGATGAAAAATAACCGTCTACACTGACCACCGCAGCCTGAAATGTTTGAAGACACAACCAAAACTCTCCAGGTGGCAGATCCGGTGGATTGACTTCCTTGAGATGCACTTCCACTACGATATCGTGTACAAGCCTGGCCACAAAAACAAAGCAGACGCTCTTAGCCAGCCTGCACACGTTGCCGCTATCCAAGTCGAAGGGATGAACCCATTCCTCAATGGACTCTTCATACACGGGTTCGCCATTGACCTCGGAATTGGCTTAGCAGCAAAACGACACCTGCTACAGTGGGACAGTGACATCGCGTGCCGGAAGGGATCAATGAAAATCTGGGTACCTAATTACCCTCCTTTGCGCCAATTACTACTCGATGAATACCACGATGTCCTATACGCGGGACACTTCCGTAGCAACAAGATGCTCACCAGTATTGCAAAGCACTACTACTGGCCCCACATGGCAGACGACGTCTAGAAATTCGTCACCTCGTGCGATACATGTCAGCGGATGAAGAGCAGCAAGCAGAAAAAGGCAGGACTGCTACAGCCTCTTCTTCTTCCAGAACAACCATGGCAAGTGGTGAGCCTGGATCTCATCACCGGGTTACCAACTATTATAAGCGCTTATGACGCAATCCTCGTCGTCATCAACAAATTCTCCAAAATGGGACACTTCATCCCGACGCGCACGACAGCACGCACCGAGGAGACAGCACAACTATTTGTTCGCTACATTATCTCACAGCATGGCATTCCAACCACACTCATCTCTGACCGAGACCCCAAGTTCACCAGCAAGTTCTGGAAGGAACTGATGTCTCTGCTCGGGACCAAACTCGCCATGTCATCCGCCTACCATCCGCAGACAGACGGCCCAACCAAGCGTCTCAACCAAATTGTAGAGCAACTTCTTCGCGCAGCATGCAAGGATGAAATCTATACGTGGGACTTGCATCTACTCGTCCTGGAGTTTGCCTACAACAACGCCACTCACGCCGCTACAAGACAGACGTCGTTCTTCCTCTGTTATGGACGCAACTTGCTCATACCACAGAGGTCGACCATATCAGCCACAGTCCAACTCGTACACGACTTCATAACGACCATGCATCAGCTTAGGGATCGGACCCACAAGCGCCTCCTCGATATTCAGCAGCAACAGAAGCGCCAGGCCGATCGCCACCGCACTGACCACACCATCACTGTGGGAGACAAGGTTCTACTCGACACCCGCAATCTCGGCATCAGTCATCTCCCATCCAAACAACAACCTCGCTTCTGCGGGACCTTTCTCGTCGAAGCACGGGTCACTCCTGTTACCTTCCGCTCATGCCTGCCAGCCACGTAGAAGATTCACAACGCTTTTCATGTCCAAATTCTGAAGCCATATCGAGATCCTAACGCACTCTTCACCGGACGCCAACCGCCACCGCCGCCGCCCGTCCTCGTCCACGATGAACCCGAGTACGAGGTCAAGTCCGTGCTTGCAGATTGTCGTCATCGGAATGGCACTGTGGAGGTTCTCATTCGTTGGAAGGGTTATGATCCTTCTGAGGATAGCTAGGTTCCTAAATCTGAGATGGGTAGCGCTCGTCATCCTCTTTGCGAATACCTTGTCAAGCAGGGTATTACTTCTACCACCCAGCTTTGAGGGGGGGAAGTGTGAGAGTATGACCCCGTTACACTTCTTTCTCCTTTCCATCTTTCTCCAAACCTCATTCTCTGTTTTCTACTGATTCATTTAGTTTTTATCTCATCTCATTTGGATTCCTATTCCTCCTTTTGGTTTATCCTATTATTATCATTATATCACCGACCAGGCTCAAGATGTACTGGCGCGCTATATCTAGTGTAATCTTGTCGTAATCCTTTAAATCCAATAGCCTCGTGTGGTTATATGCAGGGTGATTCTATTTCTAGAAGGGTCTGTTCCCTTTGGATATGATAAACCTGGTTACCTTATGTACCCCGGAAGTATAAAAGCATATTGTATCAATCAATAGTGCAACTATTCCTCGACAAATTCGATCCTGTGACAGTAGCCTCTCCAGAGGAGGGTGTTTTCCCCATCGAGGATTTCATCGTATTTGGCCCAAGTTCCAAGGGCTTGAGGGAGGCGACCAAGATACGCGTCTGGTGCAATTCTCCCCCTTTCGTTTTCGTCATCCTCGTCGTCTCCTTCGTTATACCATTCTTCGTAGTTAAGACACCAGCGTCCTATAGCGGGGTTGTGCCATGGTAGTTTCGGGCCTCTGCCCCAGTCTTCAGCTGTTGGTACAAGAGGCCAGGGTTGTTGGGGAGGGTTGTTGGTTGTGTGAGTGGTAGTCCAGTTGGTGTCTTCCTCTGATACTCCTCCGCGGATGCCTCTGCTTGGAGATGGACTCCAGCTGCTTGGTGCTCGGAAAGGTGGTGCACCTACAGTATCTTGAATCCAGGTTCGGGGCGTGGTGGTTCCGGTCCTGCTGTCGTTCTTGCTACTCCTTCTGCTCCTTCGACTGTTGCTGCTGCTGCTTGGCTTCTTCCGCTGCTGCTTCTCATGCTGTTGAGGCTGCGACCATAGTTGCTTGTGCTGCCTCTGCTGCTTCTGGTGACCCCGGTCCATGTCAAGCGATGGTTCTGAGAGAGCTTGCCCAGGCATTCATGTCGGATGCAAGTTTTGTTGCCATGTCTGCTGCTTCTCGTGGCATGGATTCTCTCCAGTTGGGGTTGAACGCCATGTGAGTGTATAGTTCCCATAGGTTTGGTCATCCTGTTTTGTCAGGGCCCACGTAGGCAAGCACGCGTTCTAAGCATTCCCTTGAGTCATGGGGAGGCGGCAACAGCAAGTTCTAAGGTTATCATGCCGACCTTTGGAGTGAGAAGGGACTCCATCTCGTCTTCCTCAACAGTTTCGAGTCCTGTTCCAGCGACGTTGCTGGAGGAGGCTGTCGGGGTGCAACAGGTACGACAGATGCCGTCTGGTCCAGGATCATGCAAGTCCGTCTCAGATGGGTGCATGTGATGGGTGACCCACGGGCTGCCGTCGGGTTGAGTCCACTCTTTCTCCTCTTGGTAGGCAAAGGTGAGGGGAATGAGGTCGATCAGCTCATGGCTGTCGCCATTGCAATTGGGGATGTCGAAGTCTAGGACGTAGACTCCGTCGACTACTGTTGCCCTGCCGATGTACTGTAGTGGGTTTGGTTCTTCGTTGGGCTGATGTGTCTTGCGGAAGTGTAGTAGGAGGTCCCTTGTTTGCGGGTCGGTGCTGATGTCAACACCGCAGGACATCAGCTATGCCGTTGAGAGTAGGTTGTAGCGCAGGTTTTGAAAGATGAGCACATCGTTCAGGGTGATGTGTGTCAAGGTGTTGTGCGCCTGTAGGACGACTATTCCCTGATGCCTTGCCACAAGCCGTTCGTTCTTGGCAGGCTGCAGCAGGGGTGTGTACGGCATTGGAGATGAAGCGTTTAAAGCCGACCATATGCTGTCCACAGCAACTGTCCAGGTACCAGGTGTTGTAGTTGTTGCAACTGTTCCGAGCAATCATTGTGATCCTCGGAGTTAGCAGGTAGGGCTTGTTTGAATTGTGCATGAGATGGTCCTTAGGGAAGTCATCCCAGCCTTGTCCGTCGCCTCCGGATGTCGTGTCAGTGATGTAGGGTGTCGGCTCCACTAGGAGAATGGGAAGATTCCATTCCAGCTCCTCTTCATGGATCTCGTAACTATCGTGTTCATTGTAGGGGTTGTTGTAGTCCCGGGCCACTATCGCCAGTTCGAAGTCTCTTTGACTTGGGCGCAAATGTGGAGCGACACGACGTCGATTCGCTCAGCGTGTGGAACCCCGAGTTCTCATCGCCATGAAGACTTGGCAATGGAAAGGTTGACCATGTGAGCATGGCTAAGTCGGACGAGGGTTCAAGGATGTAGAAGGGCGCGGGACCGGTCGCTGGTCCATGTGGGATGGGCGACGGGTCTGGCGCGGGTCCTGGGGGGAAGGGTCGATGGGTCTTCTCTGTGTTGTGTGATGTCATCATATGCTATCACATTCTGTCTGCCTCCCATCCCATATTTTTTTCAACTTGCATGTGTGGTTTGAACGTGTGCAAGAATTTGTGTGTGATGTGTTCTGGAGTTTGGGAATGTGTTCTGTGTTATTTCGTGTTTGAGCAGGTTCTTGTGATGGTAGATCTTGAGAAGATCTTTCCGACGCAACAAGAATCGCTTCAATCGGAGCAAGAACGCGAAAGCTATGAAGATTCAAAGTTCATGAGCTTGCGTTACAATTGCGGCGGTTACAAAGTGAAGTTGTGGGGTGACTCTATATGGAGTTGGGACCTTTGGGGTTGGGGAAATTCGTCACTCTACTGTAACAGCTGCAAATTGGTTGGGAACAACCAAGCTAGGTTGGCAAGGGTGGCCAACTTGGATGGATTGGTTGGGAAGGGACAAATGTCAAAGTTGGGGTTCCTATAGGGAGGGAATCTTTGTGCTTATGGGGTTTCCTTGGTTGGGGACTCTCTTGGGACCTTCCCTCTCATCCCTCTCTTCTATCCCAACCTTTCTCTTGCTCCTCTAATTTTTTTGTGAGATTCTTGAACTTTGATAAAACTTTTGAGATTGAGTTAAGTTCTCCTCCTACAGCTTACCCCTCAGTGCGTCGAAAGCCATAGCGTCGCGAATACTTCATCCATCGACGTGATTCAAATTGAGAACGGTAGCTACGATTGAGAGCTACAACATATCCGAGTTTCGCGACATTCCAACAACTTTGTTTTCGTCGACGTCGTTTCTTGCGAAGACGACTTTTCTGTCCAGAATTTCGGATTTATATTTTGAGTAATTCTAGCTCCTAAGTTCACCTAGACTCCGTCCTTAATCCTAACAAGTGGTATCAGAGCCAGATTAAGGACATTGAGAGGATTCTACAGAAGTGTGAAGACCCTTCTAGACCCACCATGGCCTGTGGGTGTGCCTAAGTGGTGTTCTAAAGGTTGGATGTGTCTTCCGCTAAGGGGAAACTCTGCCGAAATTTCGTGGACACCGACACTTGTGAAAATATCGAGGGAGCTGAGTGTGGACATCAAAGGGGAGCTGAAATTCGTCATTTCTCAAGGAGAAGATGAATGAGAGAGGAGGAGATGCTAATGGAAGAGGAGCTGTAGCTGAGAAGACAAGTGAGCCGCCGCCATCAAAAGTTGAAGCTTTGGATGGCTCCAACTATGAGGAATGGAGCGGGCGGATGAGGAGTGCCTTCAAACGCTACAAGCTACTGAAGATTGCTGTTGGGGAGGAGAAGATGCCCGAGGAAGGAGAAGCACGCGAACGGTGGATTGAGAAAAGCGCGGTGCTTTTCGACCTCATTCTTCAATCGGTCAACAAGGAGATGTTCGAGCACATCAAGGATCTTGTGGAAGCGGATGATTCGGGTCCAAGGGCGTGGAAACTACTACGTGATGTGGTTCAGCCCAACACTCTCCCGATGGTGATCGTGCTCGAGAAGGAACTTGCTGCCATCTCCATGCGACCAGGGGACGATGTGAAGCCGGTTCTTGACAAGATCAAGGACTCCTATGCAAGGATGGCAGCAGCGGGCAGCAGTGTATCTCAGCTGCAGCAGTGCACCAAGATCATCTCGGTGTTGGACAACTCTTGGGACAACCTCATCCCCACCCTCAACTCTCAGCAAGATCAATGGACACCTGAGTGGCTAAGGCAGCAGATTCTGCAGGAGGACTTCCGTAGACGCCATGTGGGAGGCGGTGCTGCCACGAAGACTGCTGAGGGGTATGGAGCTGCAGGGCGCGGCAAAGGAAGAGGGGGTTGGAGAGGCCGAGGCCGTGGGAGGAGCTTTGGCAGAGGTAGAGGCCGAGGTGACTATAATGAGGGGCATGGGAGCTCCAGTGGCAGGGGGAGTACCAGAATGGAGGGCACCTGCTGGTACTGCAAGAAGGTCGGGCATCTTTGGTTCAAGTGCTTCAGCAGACCGGAGGGATGGGCACCTCCAGGCATGAAGCCGCCCAATGGTGAACGCGCACAAGGTGGCGCTGTGCAAGGCTCAGGTGCACAAGGTGAAGGTGCACAAGGTAATGCCTATCCTGGTTTGTTTCTTATGGTTGAGGATGTGCATGGGCATGAGGGTGATATGGGATCTGTGGGAAAGGTTGTGATGCACCCTCTCACGCACTGGGTGATTGATTCGGGTTGCACCAGTCACATGACCCCACGGGCAGATTTGCTTGATGAGGTAAAACCCCCTGGGAAGATCAAGTATGTGGCAGCAGCGTCAGGTGCTTTGCTCCCTGTCATTGGTGTTGGAAATGCCAAGGTTAAGGGAGCTAATGGGGAGCTTGTGGGGCTTGGGAATGTTCTGCTAGTTGAAGGCTTGTCAGCTAACCTTCTCTCTGTGCGACGACTGCAGAAGAGCAAGGCCGAAGTGACCTTTGGACCAACCAGCTGCCGTGCTAAGCTTGGGAAGAAGGTGCTGTGGAGTCTGGAAGAGGAGACCAGCTGCATCAAGGACCTGTGGCAGCTGCCCATCATCCCATGGAATGGGAAGACTCCAACAGCAGCAACGGCAGCAGCGGCAAAGGCAACAGCAGGAGGAGATGCAACTGCACCAACTGATGGGGTCCTGGAAGCAGTCAAGAAAGTGCAGCAGCAGCAGACACATGGTGAGGTGCTTGCTGGTGTGGATGCGAGTGCGGCATGGGCTAAGGCTTCATCAAGGAGTGGAGAGGCCGATTGGGAGACATGGCATGAGAGGCTGTGTCATGTGAACTTCCCTATGCTGCAGAATTTGGTGAAGGATGGGAGCCTGAAGGGCTTGGAGGTGAAAGGGGGAGTGAAGGAGATTGGGAGCTGCCCTACATGCTTGGAGACCAAGTTCTCCAAGTTCCCCTTCAACAGCACTACAGACCAGCCAAGACCCCACTTGCACTTGTGCACATGGATGTGGTGGGGCCCACAAGAGCCCCTTCCCTCTCAGGCAGCCGCTATTTCTTGACAATTGTAGATGACCACACTCGGGCAGTGTGGGTTTACCCTTTGAAGAGCAAGGGGGAGGTGGCAGCGGCTGTCCTTAAGGAGTGGATGCCTAGAGCTCAGAGGGAATGCGGACACAAGGTGAAGGTGATCCGTAGTGACAATGGTGGGGATTTCATTGGAGCTGATTTTGAGGGGGAGTTGAAGAGGAAGGGGATCCAGCATCAACTGACAGTGCCCTACAACCCACAGCAGAATGGCGTGGCTGAGAGGTTCAACAGGACCCTGCAGGAGGGGGCACGCACTCTCCTTGGGCGTGCAGGGCTGCCTGATCCGTTTTGGGTGTCTGCACTGAGGCAGGTCGCCCTTGTGAAGAACAGGGTGCTGGCTACAGTTGGAGATAAGGAGTGGATCCCATATGTCAAGTGGTATGGGAGTGCTCCAGCTGTGAACATGCTGAGGGCATTTGGGTGCATGGTGGTGTTTCATGTGCCTAAGGAGAAAAGGGGGAAGTTGGAGGCTTCTGGAAGATGGGGTGTGCACTTGGGGATTGCAAAGGATCACAAAGGGTGGCTGCTATGGGACTTGACCACCCAGAAGCTGACAGTGGCAAGGGATGTGAAGTTTCTTGAGTCCCTGTACTACAAGGAATGGAAGCAGCAGCAACAGAAGCTTCCATCTACACCGCTCATTGTGGAGGCAGATGAGGTGCAGCGGCCTCCAAGACAGGTGGAGGTTGCAGTGTCTGAAGAGGAGATGTCTGGGGTGACTGAGGAAGGGGGAGCAGCTGAAGTGGAGCAGCAGCAGCAGCAGCAGCATGAATCTCCACCTCGAGTTCCACACCCGCCTGAGCGACCTAGGAGGGATGTGCGCCCTCCGGTGAGGCTGACCTATGGGGGAAGAGGCAAGCCGAATGTGGTGCAGGCTGGGAGTGTGGTTGAGCAGATTGAGGAAGATGAGATCGCTCACTGCTACTGGGCACCAATCCCTGAGCCCAAGACTCGAGAAGAGGCCTTGAATGGACCAAATGGGGAGAAGTGGAAGGCGAGTGAGGATGAGGAGTTCGGGTCCCTGATTGAGAACGAGACATGGGACCTGTGTGACTTGCCTCCTGGGAAGAAGGCAATCACTTCCAAGATGATCTACAGGCACAAGTATGGACCTGAAGGGGAGCTGACCCGCTACAAGTCTAGGCTTGTGGCAAAGGGGTTTTAGCAGACAAAGGGGAAGGACTATGATGAGGTGTTTGCTCCTGTGGGGAAAGGAACAACATTGAGGGTGCTATTGGCGATGGCTGCACTCCTGGGATGGAAGATACGGCAGATGGACATTGTGACTGCCTTTCTGAATGGGATCATTCTGGAGGAGGTGTACATGAAGCAGCCAGAGGGGCTGGATGATGGGAGCGGCAGGGTCTGCAGGCTGAAGAAGGCAATCTATGGCCTTAAGCAGGCGCCTCGTGCATGGTATCACAAGTTGGAGGAGGCGTTGGTGGCTGGGGGTTTCAAGAAGAGTGAGTGTGACCCCAGCCTGTTCCTGCTGCAGGAGAAGGATGAAATCCTCATGCTCTTGGTGTATGTGGATGATATCCTTCTCTTCTCTGCATCAACTGCTTTGCTGGACAGCGCAGAGCAGATGCTGGAGATGCAGTTCAAGTGCTCCAAGATGGGTGAGGTGAAGTACTACTTGGGGATGCATGTGGAGAGAGATGTGGAAAAGGGTGTGCTGAGGTTGCACCAGAGGAAGTACTGTGAGGGGCTGGCTGAGAAGTATGGGCTGCAAGATGGGGGAAAGCCAGCAACACCACTACCTTCGGGGTTTACTGTGGAGCCATGTGCTGATGAGGAGGTAGTGGGTGAGAGTGACAGGAAGCTGTTTCATTCGATGGTTGGGTCGCTGAACTATGCTGCAAATCATACACGGCCTGACATTGCATTTGCTACATCACGGTTGGCTAGTGCGGTCTCACGCCCTAGTCATGAGCAGCTGGAAGCGGCCAAGAGGTTGGTCCGCTATGTGAGTGCTACGGCATCAGTGGGATTGGAGTACAGTGGAGTGAGGCAGCGGTTGCAGAGAGGTGCTGCAGATGTGAAGAGTGGAGAGATGCTCTTGAGTTGCTATACTGACGCTAGCTTCAACTCAGTGAAAGCGGATGGCACCAGCATTGGGGGTTATGTGTGCTTGCTAGGAGGTGGTGCTGTGAGCTGGCGCAGCAAGAAGCAGAATGAGGTGGGATTGTCCTCATGTGAGACTGAGTACATGGCCTTACACCATGGGGCCAAGGAAGTGGTATGGCTGAGGCGTTTGTTGGAGGAGTTGGGAGTTGGTCAGAAGGAGCCGACGGTGATCTTTTGTGATAATGAGTCTGCAGTGAAGCTGGCCAAGAATGCTTGTCTGCATGGGCTGACAAAACACATAAGGCCTAAGTGGCACTGGGTGAGGAGACTTCTTGATAAGGAGGTGCGGCTGGAGATAGTGAAGACCCATCAGCAGGCAGCAGATATTTTCACCAAGCGTCTGGCGGAGGCGGATCATTGGAAGGGCATGAAGCTTGCTGGGATGAGTGTGCATTGAGTATGCATGCTTGAGATGTTGGTATGGTGGTTGATGGTTGGCAGCCAGAGGGGGAGATTGTTGTGTGATGTCATCATATGCTATCACATTCTGTCTGCCTCCCATCCCATATTTTTTTCAACTTGCATGTGTGGTTTGAACGTGTGCAAGAATTTGTGTGTGATGTGTTCTGGAGTTTGGGAATGTGTTCTGTGTTATTTCTTGTTTGAGCAGGTTCTTGTGATGGTAGATCTTGAGAAGATCTTTCCGACGCAACAAGAATCGCTTCAATCGGAGCAAGAACGCGAAAGCTATGAAGATTCAAAGTTCATGAGCTTGCGTTACAATTGCGGCGGTTACAAAGTGAAGTTGTGGGGTGACTCTATATGGAGTTGGGACCTTTGGGGTTGGGGAAATTCGTCACTCTACTGTAACAGCTGCAAATTGGTTGGGAACAACCAAGCTAGGTTGGCAAGGGTGGCCAACTTGGATGGATTGGTTGGGAAGGGACAAATGTCAAAGTTGGGGTTCCTATAGGGAGGGAATCTTTGTGCTTATGGGGTTTCCTTGGTTGGGGACTCTCTTGGGACCTTCCCTCTCATCCCTCTCTTCTATCCCAACCTTTCTCTTGCTCCTCTAATTTTTTTGTGAGATTCTTGAACTTTGATAAAACTTTTGAGATTGAGTTAAGTTCTCCTCCTACAGCTTACCCCTCAGTGCGTCGAAAGCCATAGCGTCGCGAATACTTCATCCATCGACGTGATTCAAATTGAGAACGGTAGCTACGATTGAGAGCTACAACATATCCGAGTTTCGCGACATTCCAACAACTTTGTTTTCGTCGACGTCGTTTCTTGCGAAGACGACTTTTCTGTCCAGAATTTCGGATTTATATTTTGAGTAATTCTAGCTCCTAAGTTCACCTAGACTCCGTCCTTAATCCTAACACTCTGTTGGGTGTGACCCCATTGACTTCCACTTGGGTTAGGCATGTAGGATGGTCTTGCACTACTTCCTGCTCGATTTTGGCAGCGCTCAGTAGAGTGTCCGAAGGTTTGCAATGCTTGCAAAAGTAGCGGCGACGGTGTGTGTCGTGGTGTGGCGCCTTCTGTCCCGAGTATAAGGAAAGCCATTCTTTGCGCGGAGCACTCTCCTTGTAGAGGTCCATATCCTGCTGCTCAGCCAACAGTGTTGCGCAAAGGGTCGTTCTAGATATTTCGCCCTACTGGACGGGTAGTGCCTTGCACGGTTGCCATCCGGGGGTACAGTAAGTCCAGCGAGCACAATCGTTACGAAAATATCTTCAGTTGTGGTGTTCCCAAGCTTGATGATCTAGTCGCGGATGCTTCGACATCGATTAATGTAAGTGTTGGCCTGAGCCAGCTGCTAGAAGTGAAGATGGCTTTATGGGATGAGCAGTCGACTCGACGACACGGAGTCCTTCGGCTGATAGAGGTTCGTCAGATATAGGCAGGAGTCTCATGCCGGAGCGGCGCGAGTTTTGAACGATCGAATTCCGAGTAGCTCGGAGGCGGATACAGTATGTTCCGTAGAAGCACGCTGTTACGCCATGAGCGATTCGTTATAATGTTGTTTCTTCGCGTCTTCGGTGTTGATCGTTGATAGCAGATCCGTCGAAATAGTAGAAGATTTGAGCGCTCTGCAGTAGTAGTTCGATCTCGAAACTTTAAATGTAAAAGTCGCGACCGTCGAAGATAGAGCTTGTTCTAATCTTAGAAACAACGAAAACTTCGATTGTGCTATCCACAGGGCTTCGTCGCTTAATTTTCTGCTTGCATGTAGTTGCGTGGTGGAGGCGTCAAAATTGAAGAATCCAGCAGTGGAGTCCTTGTCTGCAGAGGTTGGTTGCGTTTCAGTGGTTTGGCGAGCGGTGCTCGAGCTGTCATCTTCAGAGATTGAAGTCCCTCTTCAAGAGTTCACATTCGTAGGAGCAATTTTTCAAGGAGTCCTGTGGGAACGGAAGTGGTTGCCGCCGGATTCGGAATGCTTGCAGGTGCTTCGGGAGGAGGGCTTCCTTGCCCACGTGATCCCGAGCCTTGGGCCATTCTGTGGCGGGAGCGAGTCACTGGCGCCACGATATTTGAATTTGAAAACTATTGAGGATGTCGTGCGTAGAATCCTGATAAGTTCTTTTTACCATGAAGCGTTCCAATACAGTCCGTAGGATGTTCATGATTGAACTGCAGTAGTGCGCTTAGCGGAAGCGGTTGATTGGTTGATGAACCCCGTCAGAGTGAGTGTAACATAACAGTGTTGATTATAGCAAGGTAATACAGGGTTCATATAGTGATACAAGAGAATACGATGGGTCTAACTATGATGCACTTAACAAGGGTGCATTCTGTTGGGCTGAGAAAAAACCCTTTAGGATCTTTTGCAGAGACTAAGTCCCAGCTGTAAAGACTTGAGACTTGGAGTAGTGCAGCGGAAGTTGAGGCAGTTGAACCCTTGTACTAGTATGTGAGAACAAGTGATTGATTAAAGAAACAAGCATACAGCAATATATAGTAGATAAGAAAGCAGTTGTAGAATACAGTTACAGGAACGGTTTATCGAGTCGCACAGCGACTCGATTGCCGCTTCGGTTACCATCCGTGATGTTGTAACGGTCAGTCGCAACCTCCAGTTGCGACCTTTCGAGTCCTTTCGCATTCTTTGTCCGCCCCCTCGTGTAACCTCCGTTGACTCGCGTGCTCCCCTGTAATCTTCCTCGAGTACAGTGTTACACTTCAGAAACGCTTAAGTCCTTGAGATATTTCCAACACTCCCCTTCGTTTCTGGAGTGCTGGAGTGTTCAGATCCGGTGGCGTTTGTTTGCCCGGTTAGGAGCATGCAGTAGTCGAATTTTGCTTTCGCCAATTTCTTCGTCAGATAATCTGCGGCCATTTCTGTCGTCGGGCAGTAACTGAGTTGAAGTCTCCCCTTCGCGATTTCATCCTTGACGAAGAAGTACCGCAGGGCGATGTGCTTGGTTCGATTGGCGAAGCCGTCCTTGTTCGCGATTTTGATCGCAGATTGGTTGTCGCAGAGGAGTGAGAAGGCGGGCAGGGTCGCGATCTTCGCTTCTTCGAGTAACTCTCGTAGGTAGAGTCCTTCCTTGGTCGCAGTACAAAGGGCGATATACTCTGCTTCAGCCGAGGATAGTGCGATTAACTCCTGCTTGCTCGACTGCCAGGAGATAGTTCCGATAGGTTCTAGTCGGTAGATGTAGCCCGTCCTAGACCGTCGATTTTCGCTGTCTCCCGCGTGGTCGGCGTCGACGTATCCGAGTAGTCGTACGGACGGTGTTGTTGCCTTGCTGTAGGTAAGCCCGATCGTCGGCGTGGAGACGAAGTAGAGTAGCGCTCGATTGAGTTCTTCGAGATCTTCCTGTTGCGGATGCTTCAGATGTGTCGCCAGCTGACTCGCACTATAGGATAGGTCGGGTCGGCAGGTTACTGCTGCGAATAGTAGGCAGCCGAGCTTCTGTTGATACTCCTGGATTTGTTTCGCGGGGAGTTTTGTAGAGGCGCTGCCGTTGTTCCCGTAGCGGTAGGGAGTTGGGACCGCAGTCGGTGTTAGAGCGAATTTCTTCGCGACGGTGCTTGAGTACTTTCCAGCGTGTAGGTAGAACGCCGTGTCGTCTTCGACGACGTTCAGTCCTAGGTACTGCGTAACTTCGTCGGACACCGTGAGAGTTAAATCTTCTTTCAGCTCCCCTTCGAACCAGGTGGCGATGTCGGTAGTTGAGCCGATGTAGAGCAGGTCGTCGACGTAGACGATGAGCAGAACATACTCTCTTCCCTTCTGCAGTCGGTACATCCCTTGGTCATGCGGCAGCTGTAGGAAGCCGATTTTTACGAGACGGCTGTGAAGATGCTGCTGCCAGAGCCGCGGGGCTTGCTTGATCCCGTATAGGGATTTTGTCAGTCGGCATATTTTCGTGGGGTCGTCGATGAATCCGTGGGGTTGTTCGACGAAGATCTCAGCGTCCACAGGTGCGTATAGGAACGCATTCGCGACATCGATTTGGCGTAGTGGTAGTGTTTTTGTGGCCGCGACGGCGAGTAGGATGCGTAATGAGGTGTGACGGGAGACTGGGGCGAAGGTTTCTGTGTAGTCGGTTCCGTATCGTTGATCGAAGCCTCGTACGACCCATCGAGCTTTGAATCGTTCGATGGAGCCGTCTGAGTTGGTCTTGATGCGGTACACCCATTTCCCCGAGAGAACGTTCTTCCTGTTGATGCTCGTTGCAGGTACCAGTTTCCATGTTTCTCGGTCTTGCAGAGCTTTTAACTCCTTTTCCATCGCTTCTTTCCATTTTGCCTTATGTTCCCCCCCCAGAGCCTGCGACAAGGTTGAAGGCTCACGCGTAGAAGGCGGCGGCGGATGCTGGACGGAGACCCAGAGGCCTAGAATCTGGAGTCCCGTGGGTGTGTGTCGAGGGGAATTGTCATTCCCCGAATAAGCTGCTTCGTCACCGTCTTCGGGGTCAGGTAAGAAATTGGGGCCGATGCGTTCCGAAATATTCGTGTCGACGGGGTGCGGTGTAGCGTAACCTTGGTCGGCGAAGTGGTAAAAGGTGTCGAGGTTGTTGCTATCGAGGGGATTATCTTCATCGAGTGGAACAGGTATGGAACAGAATGGGAGTGGCCCGGCAGCTTCCGAGGCTCCAGGTACGTCTTCTTCTGCTGCGTCAGCCACGGCAGCATGGTCAGCGAAGGAGCGAAGGCCCGCGAAGCCGTCGGTGGGGTCGTCTGAGTTGGCAATGTTGTCCAGGTAATGCTGCAGCGTCAGTCGCTCGTAGAAGATAACATCACGTGATGCCACCGTATTTTTGTCTTGTATGTCGAGGATCTTCCACGCGTGAAAATGTTTGGCGATGCCGAGGTGTAGTCCCCACCGAGCTCGTTGAGTGAAGCGTCCTGCTCGAGCTGTGTGGGGTCTGTATTGTACCATGCAGCCGAAAACTCGAAGTAATTTTGTGCTGCCCCTTTTTCCCGTCCACAGCAGGTGTGGTGATGCGTTGTTGGGGAGCGATGACGAGGACAACAGGTTGTGCAGGTGGACTGCATGTGTCATCGCGTCTGGCCACAGTGCGTTGGGCAGCCTCATCCCCAGAAGCAGTTTTCGCATCGTCGTCTGCAAGGTCCGGTTCATGCGTTCTGCTACCCCCTGCTGCTGGTGAGCATAGGGCAGAGACACCAGGCGTCGGATTCCCCTTTCCGCGAGATAGGTCCTGAAGCGTTGTGACTGGTATTCCAGTGCACCGTCTGACTGGAAACTCTTGAGTTTGGTTCCTGACTCTCGTTCGGCGATTGGAAGCCATGTGGTGAATGCCTCGAAGGCTTGATCGCGCGTTTTGAGATTGAAGTGCCAGACGTATCTGGTTGCGGCGTCGATGAACGTGATGACGTAGTTGAAGTCGGCTTCGGTGTCGTCTCGAGGCATGTTTAGAATATCGCTGTAGACCTTTTCCATCGGAGCGTAAGTGGGTGCGCTTGGATTGTGATGGGCTGGGAAAGGTTGATGAGGAAGATCTGCTTCGGGGCATGTGAAACACCGTGCGCGTGGTCGTCGGAGTTCCTGGCCGCTCGTCGTCAGAAGGGCGTTGCGTTCTAACACTTCTGCTTGGATTGTTTGAAGTATCGTGCTGTTTGCAGGATGTCCGAGACGTTGGTGCCAGATGTCGTCGGGAGCGCGGTGACCGGGCGAGCGGTGGTAGATGTCGGCGTTGGAGAAGAACGCGACGACCGAGGCGGGACTTCGACAAGCTTCTCGTGTGGCGGGCATAAGTTGGTCTGCTTCGGTTGGCTGTCCTCGTGTCGCTGGTGGTGGTACTCGGCTGGGTCCTGCTGCCGATACTGCAGGTGATGGTTTTGTTGGGACACATGCGGGTAGTTGTCTTTCTTGTCTGATAACTGCTAATGCTCGTGTTCTTTCTGCTGCAGGTATGGTGTTGGAGTGCCAGAAGCCGTCGCTGTCGAAGTCGGGATCAAGATCTGGCGGATGAGTCCAGGCGGCGAAGGATACGATACCGTCGCTGTCGGCAGTTCCGCGGTCGGGGACGAAGTCCAACACGAAGACACCGGACTTCAGGAGGGCACGACCGATGAAGAGACCGCCCTTCCCGTGGTAAAGTCGGAACTCGTTGGAGAAGGAGTCGCACTCCAGGTGAATCCCCTTAGCCATTAGTTGGCTTACGCTTAATAGGTTGTATCCCAGATTGTCGACGATGAGGACCTTGTTGAGCTGAAGAATAACGTTTGTCTCCATTGATTGTAACTGAACCACGCCTTGTCTATTTGTTTTCAGGTTTTCGTTGTTGGCGACGGTGATGACGACGTCACGGTTGAGGCGTCGCTCGTGTTGTACGAAGCGTCCGGAGGAGCACATGTGCTGACCGCAGCAACTGTCCAAGAACCGGTTGTTCCGCCCGGTGGGTTCGGCGTTAGCGACTGCAGCGTATGTCGGGTTGACCTGAAGTCCTTGCGAGCGCGGCGGCGGGAATTCCTCTTCGTCTGGTGCGTAAGTGGGTGGTGAAGCGGGTGCGCAGTTGTCGATGTGTACCATGCAGTTGATGATGTTGGGTGTTTGTTGTGCAGATGTTGAAGAGCGCCTTGGAGGACTTGCTTGAGTGGAAGCGACTTGTGGGTCTGCTGCACGGTAAACGCGAGGGCGGTTGCAGTTGACCTTGGAGTGCCCGGAAGTCTGACAGTTGTGGCAGAACGGCGGCACGATGGTGAGTCCTCGGTTGTCACGTTGATCTTGCTTGCTGCGTCGGTTGTAGTTGTTGTCATTTCTTCTTTGAGTGTAGAAGACTAACTGCTGTTGCTTCCTTGGTTGTCTTTCCTCGAACAGATCCATCTCCTGTTGTTCAGCGTGAAGCTCGGCGCAGAGGTGCATCTCCGAAATTCTTCCGTGGGCTCGAAGAAGTGATCGTGTGGTTCTCCATTCTGGCCCGAGCCCGGCGAGGACAAGTGTCACGAAGCTTTCTTCAGTGATCGTTCCTCCGCACCGAAGCAGGCGGTCGCGGAGGGTCTGGCAGCGACTCATATACTGCATCGCCTTTTCCCCGGTCTTCATCTGTATTGTTGTCAGCTGTTGCATGAGTCTGCTTTGTGTCACGCTGTCGTTTGCTTGGTAAAGGCATTTGAGGTGGTGCCATGCGAGCTCCGCGGAGTTTCCATAACTCCGATACGTTCTGATGCTCTGCTGCTCTTGTGGTGACAGGTTTCTCAGGAGTACCGTGTACGCCAGCAGCGACTGATACGTGAAGATCTCTTGTTCCTTCCCAGTGCCGTTGCTTGGGAATGGCAGGGACCCGTTGAAGTATCCCAGAAGATGCGCGGCCTCCATCAGCAGCTCAAACTCGAAGCTCCAGGTAAAGAAGTCGTGTCCGTTGAACGGTGAGGATGTCTGAAGTTTGATCACGTGTGAGAACTGCGCCTGTAAACTTAAGATTTCATTCGGTGTTTGTTGTGAAGCAGCTGCTGTTGGCTGGGCACGGGGCGGCATGAATTCGAACGTCCCCGGCGAAGAATGATAAGGCGCAAAGGTAGGCGCTTGGTTGTGTCGCCCGAAGGATGAGTTGTCGAGGCTCATCGGCGCTAATCCCATATTCCCTCCATTGCTCTGTGTTGAGTGCGCAGGTGTCCTTGTCTGCTGCTGCTGATCGAAGTGTGACATGAAGCTGAAGAATCTCTCCATGAGATTCGGGTCCACACTTGAAGAGGGAGACGGGGTCACCATCTCTGGTACTCTTCCCGTTGTTTCTTGAGCAGTCCCGGTCTCTGTCTGCAGTCCTGAGGTGTGCAGACCAGAGTTGCCGTGTTGAGTTTCTTGGGCGCTGGGTGAGCCCGTAGAGACTTTCTTGCCCTTGTTGTCCATGTCTTGTAATCAATGAAGTCGTTGAATTGAGTTGAGTTGCAGGTTGTTGATAGGACGTAGTTGCTGGGAGTTTGGTCTCTGACCAGCTCTCATACCATGTTGGGCTGAGAAAAAACCCTTTAGGATCTTTTGCAGAGACTAAGTCCCAGCTGTAAAGACTTGAGACTTGGAGTAGTGCAGCGGAAGTTGAGGCAGTTGAACCCTTGTACTAGTATGTGAGAACAAGTGATTGATTAAAGAAACAAGCATACAGCAATATATAGTAGATAAGAAAGCAGTTGTAGAATACAGTTACAGGAACGGTTTATCGAGTCGCACAGCGACTCGATTGCCGCTTCGGTTACCATCCGTGATGTTGTAACGGTCAGTCGCAACCTCCAGTTGCGACCTTTCGAGTCCTTTCGCATTCTTTGTCCGCCCCCTCGTGTAACCTCCGTTGACTCGCGTGCTCCCCTGTAATCTTCCTCGAGTACAGTGTTACACTTCAGAAACGCTTAAGTCCTTGAGATATTTCCAACACATTCCCTATGAGGTCACGGCATAAGTTGTTGTTTGTGAGTGGGGCATCACTAGCTGGGTGAAGCTATGATATGTTGAGTGTTTTGAGAGCATAACAAGAATGATGGAAATTAAACAAATAGGAAAAGGAAGAATCTAAGATGGGCGATTTACCGTAATCCCCCGGCTATTGGACCCTATGGTCTTCTTAGAATTACTGGAAAAGGTGTCCAGGTGGACATTTACGTGGATGGAAATTATTAGGACCCGTGTTCACATATTTTACACGTAAGTATCTATTGTGCTGGATGTACAGCCTTTCTACATAGGGAGTTATATTTGTACCGCGTAAACAGAACCCTCTTGTACCACCAGAATGACACGCGTAAAATTTCGTGTGTTGGCGTGGCGCGATGGCATCTTGACTGCCCTCACCCATGCTGCTAGAGCGTGTTCCTGCGGCCTCTTCCCAGCCAAACTCTTCCCAGACTTGCTCGCTACAGTGTCGCGTATTTGTGACGCGAAGCAGTTCAGTGCGGTTCCGAGTGGTGTTATCGAGATTCAAGGTGCGTTTCCAATCCTGATTTCAGGCGCGTATTTTCAGACGAGCGCAAATGTGTACAGTGCGAGTTTGACGCGAGCTGATTCATTGCGATTGAGAACGCGATTCGCAAACGAATTGGATTGAAGCAACGTTCCTTCGATCAGCTCTTAGTCGAGGGCCGACTCTGGGGAAGAGGAGGCTGGGAAGAGGCTCGTAAGAACAAGCAGCGCCAACCTGCTGCCAGCACCAACCGTACAGTAAAAGCTTCAGCAGCAGTTTCTATTCTTACAGTGCAAAATCCTACAAGAAAACACAGCTGGGGGGTCCTAAAATGTTAAATGCCAAAAAGCGGGTCCTCACGGGGTCTGCCAAAATAAATGATCCCACCCCCGGGTAAAGGACCCATGGACTTTCTTACCGACGGGTCCATTATCCGGGGGATTACGGTACACTAATGGATGAAAGGGGAATCACCAAAATTGCGGATTTGTTTGCATTGTCCGTTTTTATGACATATTCTGTATTTACTTATAAAATTGTTATTGAAGGGCTCGTTGAATCTGCGGCGATGGGACAAGACATCCCACATGCCCCAGACAACACAACGTACTGTGCATTGGTGGTTGGGCAGCAAAATCCTAGATCGCACGGCCATTGGAGTTTGGTTTGGAACTTTGGGCCCCGCAACATCAATGCCCGTTGGGGAAGTGATGTCAACGTGTCTCATACCAGACAAGCGATGTGAATCCCTTAGCTAAGCCTCGACAGTGCCAGGCCTTCCCGCCACTAGTTTTACGCGTCAACACGAGTGAGGCTCGGTAGAGAAGCGAAGCGGCGGTAAAGAGATTGGGGAGGAGTCCCGTGCCTCACCCAAACCACTCTGGAATGGAATTCGAGATATCTTCTACATGCTGCTTAGCTGCCCGAATGCATACAAACACTTCGACTTTGGAAACTCCAGCGATGATAGAATCATGGAAAATCCGCTTGCCGAACGTATTTCAATCGTTGGCGAGGTGAATAAAAGTTTGTGGCCCTCACACGTATCTCGCTCTTCACTTGGTTTCTGGCTCGGCAAAGTAGATCGCTACCGAACCCATGCCAGCACAGCGATATCACCGAGACCCGAACTGTTCACGGTTCGCTTCGGTGGTTGATCTGGCTGGGGTTTGGTTGGGCTTGTTGCCCTTGTCAGGTATTTGAAGGTGGAGGTCTCGCTCGTTGTCCTTCATAATCTTGAAACCCTTGTTCTTCTCTCTGAACGTGAAGCTGAGCTTACTTCCTAACATTACAAGCCTAGTCCCTGTGCCATACTGCTAGCGTTATCGTTGTGCAAAACAGCCCGCCAGCATGCCTGTTGATGTTGCCGATATGTCTTGTCCTAAGCTTCTCAGACCCGAGGCCTGTACTGGTGATGTCGTCCGGCCCCAGCCTGTTAAGTATGGAGGGCGGTTTTCTCCTCCATCAGACTTGGTGAAGCACAGTAGTTGTCTTCGGTAAGTCTCGATTTTTGGCTTCGAATACTTTTATCCTGGAAGTTATGCATTCGTGTCTAACGCCGACCCTCGTTATTCTGGTTAACGCAGGTCCTGTAGTAGAGGAGACAACGATATTGGCTCCGAGCTCCTCGATATTTTCTTATCGAAAGTACGTATTTATCTGAATAGATCTCGTTTTACCGTGTTTGTTATTCGCTTGTCTCACACTTTTCTCCCTTCATTTGTGACGCAGAGCGATGGCGGTGGAAGTTTCAGCTCGTTGGCGTTCACACCACCTTGTAGATCCAGCAATCCGCTTATTAGAGACATTAACTTCGTACAGTCGAACTCGCCATCGGCGAACATTTTCCCAGTTTCCTGTCGGGTTTCCGCAGCCGTCGCACCTGTTCGCAGGGTCGAGGGGTTTTTCTCCCCTCGCGTTTTTGACAGCGGTTGCCCCAGCTCATCTGGTATACTATAAATACCTGGGACGCTTGGAGAGGAGGAGATTGGGTGCAGAGTGCAATCATGTTGTCGTGGGAGCTCCTGCAGCCGTCAGCTTCAATCCTTCAAGCGTCTGGAGGGTTGTAAATGCCATTTTTGCCCTAGGAAAGACGTTATCGTCTTCGATTTTTGTGGCGAAATCAGTTGCTGTATATAGGATTACAGCCCTTAGTGCTATCTGTATGCTTAATCAGCAATATAATGTTTTGACAGATGTATCCATGTTCAATAATGGCTGTTCGTTCGCCTCCGAATAGTGATAACGACTAGCATTTTTCTCTTAGCGAAAACGCTCGACGGTTTACATGTAAGTAAGCAAATGATATCTGGTTCAATTTGCGTTTAGTGCGATTTAAATAAATTGTTACCACAGAAATACTAATTTATGTACCCAACCATTCTCGATTGCTTTGAAACGTAACGCAAGCTATTTCCACGGAAATCAGACGTACAATTAGGGACCCTCTCAATCTTCGACGGTTTCATTCTCGTACATAAGGCTGAACTATCCGCTTTAGAACACGCGAGTTCGAGAATATTGTAACTGTGACCCGATTATTTGACTACACAAAGATTCTGAAAGCCCATATACGTGATAAAACCATAAACATATGTTCGAAATATATCATAATAAAATGGTCCCATACATCTCAAATGAGTTTATGCCCACCAAGCAGGCTCGCCTGTCCTGAAATCGGTCTCGGGCCACTGGCTGAAGAACACCTTGCCATCGGTAACATCGACGTGGGCAAGAGCGAGAGACTGGAACACAAAACAGAACCAAGTTGAGGACACGATTAGCGATACGACTATCTTCAAACTCAGACTAGAAATGACTCACACCACTTACCAGGGGAGCAGGGCCACGAACAACCTTGCCCTGGTTGTCGTACTGAGAACCGTGGCATGGGCACATGAACTTGTTCTCAGCAGAGTTCCAGGGCACGACGCAACCCAGATGGGTGCACACGGCGTTCACACCATACCCTGCGAGCTGGCCGTCGTTCTCCACCACGAGGTAGGTGGGGTCACCCTGAAACAATTAACGAGCTAAGGTTAGACAGCGTGACGAATACATTGTGAAGTGGGGTAGTTATCATGTTTAGGGACATACCTTCAGCCCCTCGGCGAGAGTCCTGTCACCAGGGCCGTGGGTCTTCAACCAGCCCTCGGCAGTGATCTCAACGCCGAAGGCATCACGCGCCACGACACCACCGCCAGAGCCACCGGAGCTGTCGTAAAACCGAGCGAATGTTAAACTCTATCCAACGTAAACTGGATAGACAAAAACAGCAGCGTCGAGCTAATAAATTACCTGGGGGGAACAAGCATGTAGAGCCAGCCACCGAGAACGGCGGTGCCGGGAACGGCGACCGCGCCAGCGAGGAGAAGGTTCATGATGTTGCGGCGAGTCATGTCGGGCACAAAAGCAGGGGCACCGGCCATGGCAACAGTGGGGGACGCCTTCCTGGTGACGGCGACAGCCCGGACAGTGTTCAGCGACTTAGCATCGCCGAAGACGGAGGCCTTGGCGGCCGCGAGCTGCAAATGCACGACATAACGAACCAGTTAGGACTACAGCAGTCACGTCGCAAACTAATACGATCCCAACACTCAGGCAGCAACAGCCTACTATCGAAGCGAGAGTGAATACCTGGGGAACGGCAGCAGCCTTGGTGGCGAGGGAGGCAGCCATGGTGGATGGGTGTGTTAGCTGTTGTGGAGTGATGGAGGTCTACCAAAAGCTGCTGGGAGACAAAAGTTTCTGAAACCCCACCCCTCAGAAGACACCCTAGCCTCACCCCAACGGATGATTGCTCAGCTGTGGTTTGTGGATCTCTGGGGTTCACGGCTGAATGGATACGGGCCAGGGAGGGACGGACCAATCAAAATACGAATGGACGGTCCACGACGATGTGGCACAACGATCTGACGGCAGAAGCAGCGCGAGAAATTGTTGTGGATGGTGAGGCCGCCCTTATCTGCTGACGTGGCTAGAACTGCCCGCGGAAAGTACGTCCCTGCGCCACCTGTTTGGTTCGTGCGGGAAGATGAACCCTCAAACCTAGGGGACCTCGGTTCTTGCAAGGGAAAGCCACGTTACGCGATGAGCTTTCGCACGCAATTTTCGCTTGGGACTTCCGAACCAAAACCAGTGGAGGTTAGGCAATAGTAACAGGCCGTGAAACTGTATTGCAAAAAAGAATTATTCTGCTCGTTCAGGCACACGAGTCGTATGTGGAAGGACTAAGACAACGAATCATAGGCCCAAACCTATGCAACAAAAAATAAATGTTGTCGATAGAGTATGCCTTCAAAGTCAGCGCTAACGTTACAGTTTGAACACATCGCATGCTACAATACCCGCAAGCTCAGTGTTATCATATAGGAAGAGTCAATGAATAATACCGTGAGAATACAAGGTCGCTATTGCAATGAAGGCACAAGGTCATTTAGGGGTTGGAATACTAGGGCGATAACATCGGGACGTGTGCAGGTTCGGCAATGTGGCTACAGTGCCGGGCGCGGCTCGGGAAATGATTGGGCCAACAAATGAGGCTGAACGTGACGAGTCGAGGAGTTCGGGTGTATGCGCTAGCGTACGACTCACTAACGAATGGAAATTCCTTACACTATCCCCCCCCCCCCCCCTCTCTCCTAAACGAGGCCGCGAGCATCGGAAACGTTCCGACGCTGATAATACGATGCTAGAATCATGTGAGATTATATATCAACGAGTGGCACCCAACTGTCATCCTCAGACGTCCGATCACGCCAACGGATTAAAAAATCCACCATCCGACGGTTCTACTGCGCGGTGACGCGGTGGCCTAGAATCTTCAGAGGCTCGTCGGTTCCTGTAGGGGCGTCAACTGCGGTATAATGTACTGACGTGCCAGATCCGACGAACTCGGGACGTAGGGCCGCATGAGGCTGACGTGGAAAGCCGGGTGGTGACACCAATCAGCCGGGAGTCGAATGTGTGCTGTGACATGTGTCACAATGTTGGTCACTTGAAAAGGCCCACAGTAGCGGGGGCGGAGTTTCTCGGGATCGGCAGGCGCAAATTGCGAGTGTCGAGTAGCACAAGCTCCCCCATTTTATAGTTGATGTCACGTCGATGGCGATCGGCTTGTCAGCTTGCGACCAGGTTGGCTTTGCGGATTGCCTCAACTGCTTTTTCTCGGGCGGCGAGGATGTCTTCTGCAAAACGCTGGGACCAAGGCACCGGGGTCTCGATATTAGGTGTAGAGGGTATTACGCTGTCCTGCCCGTAGTTTAGGAAAAATGGGGATTGATGGGCTGTTGCAGAAGGCGCGTTATTATACGCGAATTCCAGCAGTGGAAGGGATTTCTCCCAGGTCTGTAGGTCAGTACTTGTAGTCGAAATGGGTTGCTCCATAGTTTGGTTGACTCATTCGGTCTGCCCGTCGGTCTGTGGGTGCAAGGCGGAGGAAAACTCTAGTTTGGTGCGGAACTGGTCCCACAGGTGGCGCCAGGAATTCGATGGGAATTTCTGGTCTCGGTCAGAAATAATGGCGGTGGACAGTCCGTGCAGGTGGATGACGTTGGCGATGAACAGCTTGGCAGTTTGCTCAGCCGTAATTTTCTGTCGGCAGGCGATGAAGTGTGCTATTTTCGTGAGTCGGTCAACGACCACGAGGATGGCGTCGTTTCCGCTTGGACCAGCCGGCAGTCCTATCACGTAGTCCATCGTGACATGTTGCAGTGTTGCTCGGGCGGATCCAACGGCTGTAGGAGTTCGCCTGCTCGTTGGTGTGATGACTTCATGATTTGGCAGGCGGTGCAGGAGGACACGCACTTGCGCACGTCATCAGCCATGTTGGGCGAGTAATAAAGGCGCTGCAACGTATTCATGATTTTGTCGACTCCGAAATGTCCAGAGGTTGGATTGTCCCGGGGCTCCTGGATTCGTAGGGTACGAAGTAAATCGTAGCCGGGAACCCAGAGGCAGGAGGTGTTTTGGTTAGTAAAGTAAGGACCGGAAGCGTTAGTGTGCTGTTAGTGAATGGCTGAGCGGAAGAATGGGTCGATTTTGTAGTCGTGGGTAAATAGGCCGGTAAGGAGTGGGCTTGTCTGGGAAACTAGTATGACGGTTGTATGGGCAGTGGGGCGGGTCTGGGCATCAGCGATATTGTTGGCGCCCCGTTTGTAGGAGATAGTGAAGTGGAAGTTTGACTCCAGAAAATCGAGCCAGCGGATCTGTTAGGGGTTGAGATTTGGTTGGGCTCGCGGGTACTGTAGGGATTTGTGGTCGGTTCACACAGTGACGTCAGCACCTGTCAGGTAGCACCGCCAGATCTTTAACGCGTGGACAATCGCCAACATCTCCTTGTCGTGCATTGTATAGTTTTTCTCTGCGCCCTGCAGCTTCCATGATTCGTAGGCGACTTGCTGCAACCCTTCGCCGAATTCTTGTAGGAGAACCGGGCCAATGGCGATGTCGCTAGCGTCGGTAATGACTTTGTATGGACGGTTTGGATCGGAGATGCGAAGGACAGATGGCAACGTGAGGGCGACTTTCCGTTGGTCAAATGCAGCTTGCTGCTTCTCCCCCCACCAAAAACAATCGTGATCCTTCAGGTGGTCGGTCAGCGGGGCAGATAACCAAGCCATATTGGGGATATCGTGGCGCCCTAGTACTGTTCTCGAGGGCGACCTCAGTCGTAGAAGTTCGTCCTCGGCTTCGTGATCGAATCAGTGATTTTGGCGAGCTGGATATAGTCTTGTAACCGCTTTGCAGGGCGTTGCAGTTTAATCTGGTACTGTATTTCAAGCTTCAAGCCGTCCATGTACGTTTCGACTTTCTCTAACTCGTGCATGCGGCCACATCTGTCCACCAACGTCAAGAATGACGCGGTGCATTCGGACATAGATCCCAACCGCTTCCTCATGCGTAGAGTTTCAAGTACCTTGTCTGAGTCAGGTGCATGCTCAAGCTGCTTGCAAAGCTCTGCGCACCACGTTGTCCACGTGCGAAGGTGGGTTGCTCCGAACAACAGGTCCTCCTCGTCTTCGTCGCCGAATTCTTCTGACTACTCGTGTTGTCCTTCTATGCGAGTTTCCACTGGATCGACGATGACCTTCCACCACTATAGGGCGGCCACTTGCAACAGTGTTACGGTAACGCGTGGCTGATCCGCTTCTGATCGTCCCTGATGCCCGCCTCGTTAAAATAGATATTCATGGCGAATATCCACTGCCGCACTGTCACGCCTTTATTAGCTGGATCAGAAGGAGCGGGTTGCGGATATCTTACGCTGCCAGTTGTCGAGCGCGGGGCTGTTGCTGCCTGTCGTGCCAGCTCCGCTGGCGACGGTCGCTGCTCTCCCGCCTCGCTTCGTACATCGTCGCCCGGCTCCTTTGAACGCTTCTCTTATGCCTGGCGAAGTCGCTGGTTCTCGTCGCGGATGTCATTGATAATGCTTGTTAGATTCTTCAACTGCTCCATTAATGCTTGCTGGTCCACAGTTTCCCAGGCAGGGTTCGCAGCAGTCGAGGCGGACTGTCCCTCAACTTACGAATCTACGGGGCCATGGCGGTCAGGATGGGGCAGAAGCTAGCGCACACGCTGTAGTTGCTGGCATAAAAATATTTACTACCCAAGGCAACTGTTGTGCAGCCATGCTAATCCCCTCTGACCACCCTTAATTAAGAAAATGAAACGGAAGGTTCCTGGAAAGGTCAAGCTCTGATACTAGCTGCTATAATATAGGGAGTGTCACTGAATAATTACGTGAGAATACAAGGTCACTATTGCAATGAAGGCACGAGGTTATATAGGGGGTGGCGTACTCGGGCGATAACCTTGGGGCGTGGGTAGGTTCGGCAATGTGGCGATAGTGCTGGGCGTGACTCGGGAAAGGGTTGGGCCGACAAATGAGGCCGAACGTGATGAGTCGAGGAGTTCGGGTGTACGCGCTAGCGTACGACTCAGTAAGGAATGTAAATTCCTTACACTCAGCCAGAATTGAATCCGCGATAGACACGGTGGCTCGAGTTCATGGAGTCGAATTTCCACTATACAGTTACCTACAACAAGGGCGCACAAATATTGCGGAAGCCCTCACACGACCCGCTGCACACATGCACGCAATATTTATGGCACAAACTAATCCACCACGTATGAGAATATATACCCATGAATATACAACAAACATGCTGTATTTTATGGAAACTACAAGCAGTTCACACAGCCTAAACCGAATCTGGGTCCCAGAGTACTCGTTGCTAAGGGAGCTGCTGCTGTAGAAGGCGTACGACGGGAATGCTTTATGACATCTGGGTGTGGAAAATCACCAGATTGTGAAAGCTTGCTAAGGCTATCTTGCCAAGGCAGCGTGCTTCATTTCAGATGGGTAGTACATCGTTCTCGTCCATTACATGCAAACATGGGATACTACAACTGACAAGGGTGGGGGATAGGAAGAAATCAGACTACAAACTAGAAATGAAGAACGTGGGTGAGCACCACCAATGGATTTCATGCCGCAAGCGGCTGCACATGACTGTTACCGATTTGCTGGTAACGGCTTACTCGTGTGGTTCCCACTCTCTGTCGAACAGTTCGATGCCAAAGGCTGTAGTTATGGGCAACTAGGAAAGTGGAAAAGGTATCGAGGGTTGGCCAATAGACCGAGCATGCGAGGTGTCGAGTGAGACGTGTGCAAAAAAGGCACCCCCTCTCCCCCCCTTTCTGACTCGTGCACCCATGCATTTGCCTTGCCTTGTTATGAGGGCCAACACCCTCTCTGTGTCATTCTCTTTTCTATGTCCTGCACAACTCTCTCTCTCTCTCTCTCTCTCTCTCTCTCTCTCTCTCTCTCTCTCTCTCTCTCTCTCTCTCTCTCCCCCTCTCTCTCTCTCTCGCTCTCTCTCTCTTTGTCTCTCCCTTCTCGCTCTCCCTTCCCCTTCTCTCTCTCTCTCTCTCACTCTCTCTCTCTCTCTCCCCCCCTCTCTCTCTCTCTCTCTCTCTCCCTCCCTCCCTCACCCTCTCTCTCTCTCTCTCTCTCTCTCTCTCTCTCTCTCTCTCTCTCTCTCTCTCTCTCTCTCTCCTCGCCCTCTCTTCTCTCTCTCTCTCCCCCACCCCCCCCCCCCCTCTCGATCTCTCTCTCTCTCTCTCTCTCTCTCTCTCTCTCTCTCTCTCTCTCGCTCTCTCTCTCTCTCTATTTCTCTCTCTCACTCTCTCAAGCGGTCCTTGGTATAAGCCTTCTAAAAGTTACATGGTACAAGGCAGGAACATGCATGGCACGGGTTCCTAGGCATCCTACAGCTGCCCAGGTCACCCTTCAAGGGTAGGTTCAATCGTCGCTTCAAGTTCCCCCCAGGTGAGTGGCTCATCGAGGGGAAGGTCATGTGGGAAGGCTCCCCCAGAGGTCTGTCCAACTTTGGCGTGCAGGCCAACGGCCTGCTGCCGCTGGAGTGTGACCGACCTCTTTTGCTGGTATGCGTGCACCAGCTTCTTAGCCACCGCTAACGTTTGGTCGGCGTTGTGGTTGCGGCGAACGGATACTACCGCCAGCAAGTGTAGGAGCTCCATCGTGTCTTTGCTGCAGCAGCCGTAGGTCTCGGTTGCCACGCCCAGGACCGTCACGAAGGTGAGTCGTTCGTCATACAGGTCGAGTTTCTTCGCCTGTGCCTCATCCACCACCCAGCCCGTCCCTTTCCTTGCCATTGGGTCGCGTGTGGAGATGGGGTTGGTTACTGTCACGTCACAGACCCATACCGCGCCTGAGTTTGGGTCTCGAAGGGTGATGTCGACGCGACGCTGGGCTGTTTCGGGCAGGTAAATGGACGACAATTTTTTTTGATGATGAAACATGCTTCTCTGCCTAGGCGGGCATCTAGGTTGACTAGCGCGTCATGGGTGCGCTTGGGCGCCCCGCCGAGGGAGCACCGTAGCAGGTGGTTTGGTAGCCGCCTGTCTTTCAGTTTCTTTTTCTCCTTGTAGTTGCAGCGTGCGGGGATGGAGTGCTGGAGTCTTATCCGGAAGGCAATGGCCTTCACTTTCTGGCCTTTGCTCATGGTGAGGTGTGGCCCGAAAGGTATGGCCATGAGCCAGTCCCCTGGCCCTGGTCCGCACAATGACAGCAGTCGCTGCGTGTGGCCTAGGCAGGGGTTGAGGGTCATGGCGCACATGATCGCTACCAGCAGGCCGTGCCTTTCCCCGTGGACCTCGAGTGCCAGGGCGTGCTGCAGCTTGGCCCCTGGTTCGTCCCTGGTGCAGCGGAGGATCTCCCGAGCAGGTGCAGGCAGATCTGCTTCCAGGCGGGCGAGGAGGAGGTGGAGGGGTATGGGGGCTGTGAAGGGGGGGGGAGAGGAAGTCGAGGGTGCTGCCGAAGGGGGAGAGCGGGGGTGGGTCGAGGGTTCGAAGGAGGTCGCCCGCCAAGGCGGTGGAGGCGAGGTATGCGTACCCTCCCTCCTTGTTTCGGTCAAGGAGTCCCAGCCCCCCAATGGTCACAGGCAGCGTAGCTTGCTGCCATAGGAGGTCGACGTCCTCCTCCGCCCGTGGCTGCTGCAAGGAACAGGCAGACAAAGTGGCGTCTAGGAACCGCTTCCCCCACGCCGTCCACTCCTGCTGGGGTAGGAGTCCCGGTGGGGTGGTTCGGAGGAGGTAGGATGCCTTCCTGGCGACACACTGTTGCAGTAGAAGCATGGCAATCTGCAGATGGAGCTGCTGTACCATGGGCAGCACCGCGGCTGCCTTCTCCAGGGAGGCTCGGAGGTGTGCTTGGCACCCCTCCGATGTCCCGATTGGGCTGCCCAAGATGCGGATGGGTTCGGTGTGGAAGGGCACGCCATCCGGCAGCTCTTCGGGGTCTACTGCTGCTGCCGACCAGGCTCCGCACTTGGTGGGGTTGCAGTGGAGGCCGTCGGCTGCTATGAGGCCCGTGAAGTTGTAGAAGGCCGAGGCACAGTCGGATGAAGGTGACGTTGTCCATGTAGGCCAGTGTCATGATGCCTGGGTGGCTCTCTGCTGTTCGCTGGAGCGCGGGCTGGATGGCTAGCGCGAAGAGGAGGGGGCCTAGTGGGTCGCATTGGCAGACCCCACGCTCGCTGCTGATGTGGGGTACCCCGTAGGCACAGTCTAGCAAGAGCTGCGATGGCTGGCCATAGAAGAGGCGCACAAAGGGAAGGAGTCCCTTTAGCACACTGTCCCTAACTGCTTTGAAGAAGGCGATGCGTTCAACGGAGTTGAATGCGTTCGCTATGTCTACCTCGAGCATGAGGTGCAGGGGGCTAAGGTGCTGCTGCGCGGCGTCGGTAGTGAGCGCGAGCTCCGCCTTGCCGATGAGGCACCAGAGGCATTCCCCCACGGCTATGAGCCTCACCCACCCCCCGGGCTTAGTGAAGGCCAGCAGGCGTGAGGTCGTGAGGAGGGCCGTTGCTTCGGGCGGGACTCGTCTGGCTAGCGCGCGGTTTACTATCCCCGTGAGGTGCGCCAGGACGTCCGCGTTGGTCGCCGCGGACTTGCGGATGTGCTCGAAGCACATGCCAATGGGACCCGCGCCCACTCCGTTAGGGCACTTCCGGAGCAGCACCTTGAAGCTTGCCGCGGTCATGCTGAGCGGCTGCTCCGCCGCGTCGCTTCATGCGGTGGAGGCGGCGGCGCTGGCTGCTTGGTTGGCTGGGGTGGGTCCATCCAGGCAGGGCGTGTTCAGATGGCGGGTGTAATGCCTGGAGGGCGCTAAGTGTGTCACCTGTGGGCTCGCAAACTGGCTGGACTCGAGGGCTTGCAGGGCTTTTTGCAAGTTCCCTTGCTTAACCAGCGTTTCTGTGCGTGCGAGGTGCCCCGTAGTGTCGTTGGCGTGTCTTGGTGCTTGGGGTAGAGCGGCGGATATTACAGCTTCGTTGTACAGCAACTCCCATTCGCCTAATGCGGATTTCTTTAGGCGACGTAACACGGAGTCCTAGTCAGGTTTCTGTGTTGTCGCCGTCGCCAATGTTTGGCGTGGCAGGAAAAGTGACAGGCGCCAACCGCTTGGCGACTCAGGTGTTCGCTCGAGGTGTAGCAGGGGTGTCAGCAATCATGAAGCAAAGGCGGCGAGGACCTCGCGAGGTAGGCGATGGCCCAGGGTCGGTAGGCAAGGGTCGCGCAGTTTGGCGATGTCCCAATTTGCGATCTTCGCGAACATGTCCTTGCGCTTGGCGAGGATCAGTGATGACAGCACCTGGGGTGCTGGCATTGACCGGCGGGAACCCCCTCGCGCTGCGGCGGGTGTTGGATGGGCGGTTCTCCGTTCTGAATGTGCTGCCACATTTGCGCCTCGGGTAGGGCATTGTTCCCAATCCTCGTCATGCGAGGCGCCTTCCAAAGTTACCCCAGCTGGGGGGGTAAAATTGGGGTCGTTTTCGTTTCGATATTCACTGTCTGCTGCAACTCCCTCTTCCTCCCTCGTCTAGCCAGCATCCCCTCTAGCTGCTCTGCCCACAGTGTCCGCGCCTTGGTTGGCATCCCTTAGCTCCGCTTCCTTGCCCCCGTCCTCTGCGCGGTCCCCGCCCGTTGCAGGTTCGACGCCATCCTCCGCCCTGCCAGTTCCGCCTGCTTCCGTTTCGGTTTCCACTCTTTGGCCAGCCATCGCGGCGAGTCTGTTCGCCTCACGCTGCAGCCGCTCTGCTGTGCGACGAAAGGTCTGGCCTCCTCCCGTCGCCGTCGTCGCCTTCTTGTCGCGCTGCCATCCGCCTTGTTTCCGGGCGCACCGCGTCCACGTCCTGTCCGCGCTGCTTGTGCGGATGACTCGGGGGCAGCTGCTGTCCTCGTCGCGCCGCCCCCTGCAGGAGGGGGCGGCGGCCTCTCCATCGCCTGTAGGCTTGCCTTCCGGTGTCTCCTGCGCACTATCGCCGACAGCGTTGCTGTGGCTGGAGCATCGCGCCCAAGAGGCGCAAGTAGCTGAGCTGACTCGTGTGCTTCAGCAGCTGTAGCGTTATCCACTTGGTGTGGGTGGGGTTCCGCTTCGTGTCCCGCCTGTTCCTGTTCATCCCCGCTCCCCCCCTCCTCTTGCTCGGTTCGGGGGATCGCCCATGCGTCCCTCTCCCCCTCCCTCTCCTCCTCCTCTTCCACTTCAAGGCGCGGTCTCTCCCGCACATTCCGCGCCTCCTCCTCGTCCGTCGCCGCCTCCTCCTCCCCCGCCACCTCCATCCAATGCCACATCCCGCCTCTCCCCCGCCACCCCCTCCCTCTTGTGCTCCTGTGGCTGCCCCCATGGCGTCTCCCGCTCCTCCTCCTCCGCTTTCTCCTCCGTCGCCAGCGGCACCACCAGCCGCTGGCGGATGTGGCGGTGCTGGGGGTCTTGGCACTGCCACCGCCTCCTCACTGGCGATGCGGTGTCCCGCCAGGCGTCTTTGCGAGGGCGGTTCGTCGGGTGCTTGGGCAGCGTCACCGCTGCCCTCGCCACCCTAAAGACAGTTGTCTCCGCCTCCGCCTCCTCCGGGCCTCCCTCAGGGGTCCGGTCCGTGGGACGCACGAGGCCATCCATCGCCGTCGTCCGCATCGCAGGGTGGAGCCGCACGCGTCGTTGTCCGCCTCCCCCTCCTTCCTCCCCGTCGTCGTTTTCAGCGGTCGAGGCGATGGCGGGCGTTGTCGCGTGTATTGGCGCGGTGGCGGAGGTGTTGGACTGCCTCCGACTGCCTCCCCTTCCCGCGCTTCCGCGGAAGCCCGAGGCTGGTCGGTCGTGGCGGCCCGCCATGTCCCGCCGCCAGCAGTGACGGGCGATGGAGGCCGCGTCGCTGCTCCTCTAGCGGCTGGCATATGTGTTGCCGCCAGGAGCAGAGGCTGGGGAGCTGGACCCTGCTCCCCACACCGTGGATGAGTTGAACAGGGCGCTGGTGGCGAACCAGCGCCCAATAATCTTGGCCGCTTGCGCGGCTATGCTTCGGGCGTTGGAGAGTCGGGCCAGGGCCTTTGTTCCGCCGTCGGCGTTGGAGCTGTAGTAGCTGAGCAGTTGACAGGCGGATCAGCCAGGTCCCAGCCATTGGGCGCTGTGGGCAGCCCCGTAGCCCAGGTGCAGGCTAGCTTGACTCCTCCCGTGGAGGCATGTGTGTACTCCTTGTTGGTAGTACTATTGAAGCTGTGCGTGTCTCCCAGTCCCCTCCCCTTTTCCACCTCTCCTGTGCGGCCGAAGGCCGCGCCGCGAGCGACGGTGGCCGAAGGCCGCCGGCGCGAGCGCCGCTACCAAATCTGGGAATGAACTCAGGAA